GTGCAGAACTGCAGTCAGCTGAAGTAGCCTGCAGTGCTGCATTTAACCACTGCGCCACTTCGGCTCCATTTCATTCCTGAGGGCCAAAACCTATGTTTCTTTAGATATTTAGCCCAGCCTTTCATTTTTGTTTTAGGATTTTCTGTCAGTTAATTTTTATTTATTAACACAATCATAGATAGTTCTTGGATAAGTCTGAAATGTTTTATGTTTCAGGTATTGGAAGTGGGATGGTGTACCTGCCTGCTGTGGTCATGGTGGGGGAATATTTTCAAAAGAGAAGGGCTCTTGCCCAGGGACTCAGCACAACTGGAACAGGCTTTGGTGCTTTCCTGATGACAGCTTTGTTGAAATATCTTTGTTTGGAGTTTGGCTGGAGGAATGCCGTGTTCCTTCATGGCGCTGTCTGTCTGAACCTGTGTGTTTGTGGAGCACTTCTGAGGCCAATTTGTTACAAGAAGGAAGCTACTGAACAAAGCAAGGATGGAAGCAAGAGTCAAAGCAATAGTCCAACAAAAGTTATCTCCTGCTCTGCCGAAGTGCTAACATCTAATTGTGTTTTAAGAGAAGCCAAGAAAGAGGCCAAGGGAGGACAGGGTACAAAAGAAAACATTATAGCCTTGGAAAATAAAGATGGAATCAGAGACCAAAAGGAAATCTGTACTCTTGGTATTCTAAAGCGAGTAGGCCAACTGACAGTCACAAGCCAGAAAGGCTTCAGGACCTGGTATTCTAGTTACTTTGGAACTGCTTCTCTCTTCACAAACAGAACATTTGCTGCCTTTGTATTTTGGGCTTTATTTGCCTATAGCACTTTTGTGATCCCTTTCATCCATCTTCCTGAAATAGTGAAACAGTACAGGTTATCAGCACAGAATGACATCTTTCCTTTGACTTCAATTATTGCAATTGTTCACATTTTGGGGAAGGTCGTCCTTGGCATAATCTCTGATTTGCCTTGCATCAGTGTTTGGAATGTCTTCATGGCAGCTAATTTTACTCTTGTCTCTTGCATTTTTATTTTGCCATTAATGCATACATTTGCTAGCCTAGCAGTGGTTTGTGCCCTAATAGGATTTTCCAGTGGATATTTTTCACTTATGCCTGTTGTCACTGAAGATCTAGTAGGGATTAAGCATCTTGCAAATGCCTATGGAATCATCATTTGTGCTAATGGGATATCAGCACTCTTGGGACCACCATTTGCAGGTAAATGTAACATTTTATTTGGCTTACATGGTATCAGTAGCAATAGCCTTAGATATATTCCACACCATAGCTTTACAGCTTTCTCTGTGCAGTTTACAAATGTCAGCATATTGCCCCCAACAAACTGGGTCTCNGAAGTTCCAGTCACAATTTTGATCATAAATTGAGGACTACCAGTATAGGAGTTTAGATGCTACCAGTTTACAGTTTTGAACCACAGACATTTAGCTTTTTGAGACAAATTACATTTGTGTAAGTTGCTGTAATCTAGTATCTGAAATTCATGTATTGATAAGAACTAACTGGACAAATCCTTAGGTATAGACCTTTGTCAATTAATGCTTATGTGATGTATACTGATTTGGCAAATTGTAGTTAAATGCTTCCAAGTCTCATGTATGAAGAAAACAATTAGTTTATGAAAGCAATCTATTTCACATATTCTGTCACAGGTCCCTTTATTGGTTTGTTTATTAACACCTGTGGGTGTCGGAAGACAGCAATAACTGGAGGAATCTTAAATGCCCTGGGATGGATATTAAGTTCCTATGCTTCAAATGTACATTACCTCTTTATTACATTTGGAATTATAGCTGGTAAGCATAAATAATTTTGTATATACATTAGGAAATCTACTATTTTTTGGAAGAATATAAATATGCTAACACAAACAAGCCTAAGTCTGTGGCAGCAAATGAGCTCATCTTCTTTGAACACACAGACTGTAACTTCAGGCTACATAAGCTTGATTAAGGTGTTACATTGCATATATAACACAGTATGTATTCAATCATAACTATTCATGGAGCTGCATTTTGGACCAGTTGGAATTTTGGAGTTGTCTTGAAGAGTAATCCTATACAGAGTGCATCGTAATAGTCCAAATGGGAGTTGCAAGGACATGAGTGACAGAGAGAAGGCCCATCTGATTCAGGAAAGGAGGTATTTGGCACACGATGAGACTGCAAAAGCTCTGGATTCTGCTCTCACATATTCCCTGAGTAGGAAGCAAGAATCCAAAGGAACTCCCAAATTATGCACTAGTTCTTCCTGGAGGAGTGGTATTTAGTCAGGAACTTCAGAAGGTAAATCATTGGAATTGGCAGATCCTTGAAATCAATGCCACTTTGTTTTGCTAGTTTTGAGCCTAAGATGTTCCTCCTCATCCACACCCCCACAGTCTCCAAATATTGGAACATCTTCCATAGCATTATTTGCCCAGCTAGGGATCCAGATGTAATCATTTACACACTAATAATGCTTAACAGTAGATGACTTAGTCCAGCAGCGTCAGATGTACTACTGTATACTGAATAAAAGTGGGGGAGAATATTGAATCCTCTAGCATTCTGAAAATGAAGGGTCTTAGGCCAGGGCTTTCCAGGAATTAGCCCAGAAGGAAGGAGTAAAACAGCTGCCAAACAGTAACAGTGCACTGACCTAAAGCTTGACTGATATGAATCACAAATATGTATTGTACTTGTTGATTATGAATTTAAGTCTACATTTAGAAAGTNCGTTTCATTGGAGTTGGGGTTTTCACGAACGCTGACTGACTAGGGGTGACATGATAGCAGTGTTCCAATATTTGAGGGGCTGTCACAAAGAAGGGGGGGGGGTCAATCTATTTTTTAAAGCACTTGAAAGAAAAACAAGAAACAATTTATAGAAACTAATCAAGGAGAGAAGTAATCTATAACTAAGGAGAACAGTGAGAACAATTAACCAGTGGAACATCTTGCCTTCAGAAGTAATATGTGTTTCCTCACTGGAAGCTTTTAAGAAGAGATTGGAGAGCCATTTTTCTGGAATGCTAATGTCTCATGCTTGAGAAGAGGTTGGATTAGAAGACTGCCAAGGTTCCTTCCAACTCTCTTATTCTGCATGTTTTTATATAATTCAACTGAACATTAAACTATATTGCACAGTATTATTTAATTTTGAATGAAGATTTTATATAGATATTTATAATAAACAGGTGAATTATTTTTCTATCTTACATAAAGTCAAGTACTTAGAACCTTCCAAATGGGATATTTTATTAAGGATAAACATATCCGTAGCAAATGTGCTAACTAAATATTGGCACATATAATTAATGGAATGGAAAACAAAAAGATACTGAAGGAAACCCACACACATTTTTTTCTGTATAAATAATTCAAGTTTTGAAACTATAATTTTAAAATTATAATACCAAGCACCTATATCAATAGGAAAATATTAGATATGTTTTTGAAGTTGTTAAGGTAGAAAATAGTCATGTTTCCATTGTTTCAGATCATTTAGCTGTATTTTTATTTGTTCAAAGTAGAAAAACAATTTTCCTATTGTAAGAGTAATGACCCCATCTTTACAAATATTTTCTAGAAAATTAGATAACAAAAAGACCCTTTAGAGTGCAAATAATCAGGGTCCTTTTGAACAATACTGCTTTATCATTCAGTCTATGGTAAATAACATAGCAGCATCTTTTAAGACGAAAAGATTTTGTTGATGATCCTTCTGATAAAATTACACTTTTGTTGAACTGGTCCTCCTATCCATTTTAAATTAATATATCAAACAAAACTATTACAGAGTATTCTTATTTTTGAGCCACTCAGGAAGAATCAGCATTTTAACACTACAGAAAAAAAACATTACACATTTTAATACATGTATGAAAGAACAAGGGATTCAGTATGCTGGAAATTTGTAATTCACAGTGTGACTGTCATATGTCAGGAAGTTAACACCACTGCCTGGCAAATACATTTCTTGGTAAATTTAATGCTATTCAGGTTTATAGAAATACTCATCAGAAAAAAAATATTTCATAAGGATAGGATGTAAGACTCCTCCCCCTATTTTTTTTTTTAGGGATAGATCTTCAGAGGACTTTAGAACTAAAATCTGACAAAGAAATGTTTGCTCTGTCTATGAAATTGTGGGTCAGAAATATTAGTAATTTGATTATAACAAAAGTACACAACAGCTTTATAGCAAATGAAACCAAGAATTAATGAGTTTTCATTATCCCAGTCTTACTATTTGACATTCATTTGGAAAGTGGGGGATTCTTAACTTTCTTTGATACCAGTAGCTGATTACATTTACCATTTCCTGGAAGTTCCCATTTTATCTTCTTAGAATGCTATACCCATTGTGTCATTTCAGGTATTGTATGAAAAAAACAACAACAGCTTTCTCCATACAGTACATACATATTAGTAATCACTGCTGATAATGGTGATATAAAATAAAAGGTGGCTGCCACCTCCTGGCCATCAAATAAAGTCGGAATAAAGCAAAAAACAAACATCAAGACATAAAATGTGAACAAATGGAGAACAAAATGCAATTTAAATGAAACATTAAATGAAAATGTATGGAATAATCTACAAAGATTTTCTCAGGCATCTCTTAATAGCCTATTTTAAGGCAGCCTCTATCTTTATTCAAATCTTGTGATCAGATTTTTTTCCCTAGAAAGCTAAACAAGATTTTCAGCTTGCAATATATATATATATATATTTATATATAAATATATATAAATCCATACTTTTCAAAATGTTTAATTAGGAAAAATACTCATCTAATCAGACTGACTTCCAGAAGAACCAGCTGACTTATTTCTCCTTCTTCGGAGTTTTAATTGCAGTTGAAGCTTGTTAGTGAAGAAGAACTGCTTCCACCCAATTTCTTGTGCCAGGGACTTCATTTCTGGAGTGATGGTGCCCAATAAATCTTGCACAATCATTTCCCATAGTTTGTCAGAGTTGCATAACTATTTATAAAACAAATAAAAAGTATGAGCAGATCAAAAATAAATTTATTTTATGAAAAGCACATAAATATTAGGATCTGATTCCATTGGGCTATTTGAGCTCCAGTATTTGCAAGTTTTTCTACAAAAGAAGAGACAACTGCATAATAATGTTCATATCCATAATTTATAATACCTGGTATCACCTTGAGTATTAACTCTACATTTTAAAAATAATTCACATACTACTTAGGAACCATCCTTTATTTCAGTTACTTATTACAATGATCCATTTTGAATCTGATATTGCTGCTCCAGCTTGGCCTGGGCTTCAGGATTGTCAACCTCAGGACCCAATAAGTCAGCATTCATTTGAGGCTAATGAACCACAGGGTTCTCTTCTTATTTAACAGTCTGATGACAAGGCACAACTCCCAAGCTTCAGGTTTAGACCAGGGGTGAGTTCTGGCAGTCACCACTGCTGGTTTGCTCGTGGGTGCGTGCATGTTCAATGCAATAAAAATTGCTCTGTGCATACACAGAAGCAAAAAACAAGATGGCCTACAGCACTGCCTAGAGAACCAGTTTGGGGGCGTGGCAGGCCTTCCAGCCACCCAAGCCCCAAAACCACTACCGGTTCGGCCAAACCAGTCCAAACCGGTAGGAACCCACCACTGATTTAGACATCTACAGAGGCAAGCAGAGCAATTCTCCTCAATGAGACTCCTTATTAAACAAAGGGTGGGGTATGAGTGGTTTCAGCCAACTGTTAGCACACAGATATAGGTAGCTTCTTTCACTGCAGATTTTTGCTGGAGATAACCATTTAGCTTTCTAACTCTCTTGCTTTTGACCCTTTGGCTGACCACCTCATTTGGCTTTCTGTGACTCATGAAGCATATTTGGATGAAGGTCTTGCTTCTTGGACTGTACCAGCATTTTTCAGGCAAATGTATTTTACTAGGCATTTGAGTTACATTCCTATTTGCTGTTACCTGTTTTAACTGTAGTAAATATTTCAGATTTGCAAGTATGTGCCAGCAACCTTGAAAGAAAAAATTTCCAAACTCTTCCTGATTTTATGGTAATAAAAATAATAAAAACACTAGCAACTGGTTGACCTGGACTGCTCATACAGAAAAAACAGGAATTAGGCAAGAACAGAAATCTGTGACCTTTAATATATTATTAGATTCCTATCCCATAGAGTATGGGCAATGGTCATGAAGAATGGAGGTTCAATAACATTCAC